ATATTCGCCCACCAAAAAAGACTGAAAACATTCACCGTTTTCCAGCAGCACGCTGCGTTGCACCCTGCCCAGTCGCTGATATGTTCTCATTACTTGTTCATGTTCTCATTACATTACATTCATTACATTACGTCATTACATTACATGTTCTCATGAAGGAGTATCAGTCTCGTTCCCGAAGTGCGCTACAGCGCGTACAGAGCTGCTCGCAGTGCCGTGTTGTGGTGTCGCTCCGGACATTAATCTTCGGCAACGGAGAGAGAGGTTTCAGTGGTTGCCCTGATGCTTGCTTCCAGGTGCCAGCCTTAGCCGCCATGCAAAGCAGCGCCAGGGCCATGTGGAATTGCACCTCAGGACCTACGCTGTCACCGGCTGGTTACCGCCCATTGACCTGGTCTCAGTACTTCTGCGTTGGCAGCGCTAGTCCAGCTGGTAACATGGGTGTCGGCCACGGTTTGGTGGGAGCGGCTTCAGGCCTGCTCGTTTACCGCATCGGACTTCCACGAGGAGCGCTGGGTACAGCGATAGGCTTCTGCCCCAAAGCACCGGTGGTATGACCAGGAACCGTCTACCTCCGACGAAGGACGGCGTTGTCTCGACGTGGAACGCGGTCGACGATGCCAACCAGCTGTGGCCGCGACCACCTGTGACCGGCTCATGGCTGCTTCTGATCGCCGACTCGATGCCTCCCGTCCGCTAGCCACGACTGTCCGGCTGACCGCCGGACAGCGGCGACGGGGAGGTAACCCCGGCTGCGACCCAGACTGTGAAACCGAGAGGGCGGTGACGGTGGCGGCGACGCGTACAGCCTCGAGGAAATGATCCACCGCCTGAGTCAGATCTTCCAAGGACGTTGGCTCTGGCAGCAGGGCTAGAGCTGCTCGGGCCGTCTGGGGAAGCCGCTGTAGAGGCAGTGTTCCCAAAAGCCCGCTATCTGACGAGGCATCACCGGCGACCAGCAGCCCACGCATGCGACGTGGGAAGCTCGGATGAGGGCTGGCCTCCGAGGTGCTGATGGTGCAGGAGCACTCTGGTGAGAGGGGCACACTGGGTAACAATGAGGCGTTCATTTGAATAGAGCCCATTCATCTTTCCCAGCTTGTTGTTAAATGTAGAACATCCATTTTAGATTGACAGCTATGTGTATAAACGTAAAAAGCCACTCCTCCGGCTCAGCATCTACCTCGGCATCCGGCTCGGCATCAGGCTCAGCATCTGGCTCAGCACCAGGCTCAGCTCTCCTGCTCAAGACCTAGCTCAGCATCCGGCTCGGCTCTCTGGCGCAGCATCCGTCTCAGCACCCAGCTCAGCATCGGATCAGCTCGGCTCACCCAGAACTGATCCATTTTGCATTGTGCCAGATGCTTATTCACATCAGCAGTAAGATTCACGACAGAAGGGACTGCATGTCACGCTAAGAGGCTGCTTCGTTGATATGCTTAGCTCGAAAACGCCACTAAAGCCATGCAATAGACGCAAGATGTAGCACTCAGAACGCATCTCTTTGAACGGAATTCGTCCCGCGGACGAAAAGTGAACACATAGCCCATCTGGTCCGCTTTCGTTCTGGGAGCTTTTCGTGGGGTGGTTTGGGGTTTATTCCACCACGGGGATAATTTTTTTGCCTAGCGTAGGTATTGTGAGCCTACGCAGCAGCGAGAGAAGCCATGATCTCTCACTTCTCGTCATTGAGTCAAACATAAATCCAACAATGATGCATGAAAAGGATTCGCTTAAACAAGATGTTTAGCCATACCGTTTTTCGAGACGGTTCTTCCATACTATTGACGTCCAAGCATGAATCTCAAACGTGCTCACCTAACACAGTGACAAGTTAATTTCATACTCATCTTCGTCGCATTAATGGCTTGCTTTTAGGAGGAAGGCACGCTACATTTAAAGGAATGAGAAACAACTGGTGGATTTCAAAATAATGTCCGTGTGGCCAGCGCAACTTACCGAAGAAAAGGGACGATGCCAGCGCCACTTTGTGCATGCATCGCAAACTCCGAATATAGGTGGCGGCACAATCGAAGGAAACCATCCGCAATTACTTGGCTCGTTCTTCCGAGGGTCATTTAAGCTCGGAAAACGGATTGCACCCAACACTGGGATAAGCTGACCCTTGATAAATGCTGTCACAAAAGCAAATTATCTGTTGCAAAACTAGCTATTGCTTTACCACGATGACGTTTTGCGGAACATAACAGCTTAACAGCAGATAACAGCATAGTCGCATAACAGCATAACAGTACGCTTATTGAAAAGCTAATCTACACGACGTTTTGTCATGAAAGGATGGCTCATGCGCCAAAGAGACAGCACTCCCGAATTTATTTTAAAAAATCATAAAGACAGGCAGCGTCTTCACACACGCTTCTGTTGCAAACGAACAGCACGAGAACTGTGGGCATGTAGCTTTCAGCAATTATACGAGTAAGCAGCGCATGATGATAAAGATACGCAGATGTAATCAATGTCACACGGTGATGCACATTTCAAATATTACATCACATATTATGAAATGATTGAGCGCATCAGTGCATGTCACATATACGTATACAGGTGAGGTGCGAAGCTAAATGGGGTTCAGCAGCATCTGCTAGGTGAGGTCAAAGACCTCGACACTAAACGACAAACGCGGCGACGGGATTTCACTTTGCATGTTGATGTACGCATCTGTCTAAGCTTTTAACCATGCTTTTCAAGGACGTAGTGCTGGATAACATCAACAATGAAAGCAGTCTTAAAGTAATGCCGACACGGTTGTAAAACGCGCAACGCCGCCACCAAAACAAACGTGATAAGTAAACGCTGTGCGCCGGTGCATCATATGCACAGTCCTCCCGGTTTTGTAGATGAGAGTAAACAACAAAATAAGCAAATGTTCTTTTGACTCTTAATTGCAAATGCTAACGTTAAAATATGACCGCACGAAACAGTGGTTTGAAAAGAGAAAACATACAACGGGTGCAGGCACGTAACTAACTCATGGCCGTCTCTCGTTTGAATCAAAATAAAATGCCACTTTTAGATTGCCAGTTGACGTCATCTGATCTGAACTGAAACCAGATGGCAAGGTTTCAAATTTGTATATCATTTTGCGTAAATACTTGACTCCCTCTGCAAGCTCGTCGTGCCACAAAAAACAACCCAGGACCGAGCACCGTTTGCCAAGAAATACGAAATGGCGAGGGAATGTCACCATCAGGTTAACAGAAGGTACAACCGGAAGCGTTTCGCTTCTGCTTCGTGTCTTATCAAAAGCTAGAATTAGAGATCAACTCAGTGACTTGCGTCAGTGACTTGCGATGCACTTTGGATTAACAATGTAGCTTAAAGATGAGAACGGCACCGTCAGATCGCAAAGTAAATATGGCCGATAATGCTTTTTGATATAACGCATAATGTCAACATTAGGTGTTAAAAAAACTAAAATCAACAAAGGTTTACAAAGCATGGTACCTTTTTTGAACGGCCCGTTACTTGCAGGTGAGTGGAGCACAGTATCCGGTCTGAAACCGATGCAGCCAACAAAACGCGCTTCTAGCGGACGCGTGCTCGATTCCTCTTTGGCAGAATCGATTCCGACTCCTAGGCAGAGCGCATGAAGTCATCCCGACTCCGAATTTGAGCAGCACAGCACAACTGTGAGTTGACTTTAATTCCGTCTGAAGGAAAACTGTTCAGCTGTGGAATCCATCCCAATGAGCCTTTTCCAACGGAAAGGTTACGTAAAGGCATCTGCAGTGCACCTGGCCCGGCCGCGCTGCTGCCCAATAACTGTTGCTTGCCATATTGAAGAGACACTAATCTAATAATCCGGAACTTTCTGAACAGTTCATTGACATTGACCGATCTTGGGCGAAAACTCGTGGACATAGAAACTGAAATATTCAACTGCCTTGTAAATCAATGACCCTTTTCGCACTTGCAAGGAGCAAATCGAAATCACCGAACACGGTGTTTTCCGAAAATATTTAAAAAAAAAATTAAGTACGGGGCACTTCTTTCGATAGAACGAAAACTAAATATGAACAAATGTTATTTGGTGCACATGCACGCATATAGATTTATGTACACATGGATATATAGAATAATACTGAATATATTCAATTTCGGAACAACCTCAGTGATGGTTTTATGCCTTCGAGCCTGATTTCAGCTCTCGAAACAAATGATAAATTATTGAAATAAAAGTAATAGCCTCAATTTTCGTAGAAATACCAGGAAAACGGAAATATAGATCCATTAATATTTTGGAAACATGCCTTAAATTACTTAACAACTTACATGGTTAATGCCACCCCGACTGCAACAACAATTCGATTGATTTTGATTTTTCCCGGCACCACCTGGACAAAGCAAGAATCTGGTTTCTAGTATGCATGTGACCACCAAAATCAAATGGTCAACTCAGCTAAGTGACTTGTAGTCACTTCAAAATTTCACTTGCATATAAGAAAATAGTACTGTGACGAAGTGCATCAAAGCAGCAAGGACACGGAATACCTATTCTTAAACGTGCCACTGCCAAAAACGAAACATGATTGGGGCGACATGTAGGTAAAACCCATCAAGTTCTGCACATTAAATAAACTGCATCTAAATATGTCGGCATATGGCAGGAGTGTGCGTGGACCGGGTACAGCAAGTTCCATGGGGCCAAATCCCAAGTTATCATGCGACCATGCCAAAAAGGTCAAAGTGATTCTCCCACGCCCCAACCGCCAGCGCAAGTACCGGTCCTACCCTGGGGTCAGCTAACGCCGCAAGGCCTTCAGTCGGCTGAAAGTGCGTTGCCCGAATGACCTCACTCAGTTAGTCTCGCCCCTCACACTCACACTCCTCCTACCAGACGCATATGCTCGCCCTCGTGCGTCCGGACCTCAGGCGCCCTCGTCTCCTCCCCGTTCGTCTTCGTGACCCCACTGCCACCGCACTCATACGCTCGCGACCCCTCGCTCCCCGCTCCCTCGGGGCGAGCTTGCGCTGCTGCGCCGACGAGCTGCGGGTCAGGCCGAGCGTGCCGAGCGGGCGGGGTCACCAGGCCTGCTTGGGTCACCGCGGCTCGCCGCCCGCTCCGCCGCCGTCCACGTTCACTAGGCGGAACGTCTCCAGAAACTCGTTGAAGTCGATGAAGCCGTCTTTGTTGATGTCCATGCTCTTGGCCATGTTGACCATCTCGTCGTAGGGGATCGGCTGGTGCAGGTAGTTCTGGAGCAGCGAGCAAGCGTCGGCGAACTCGTCCAGAGACAGGAACCCTGCCAGAGAGAGGACAGGCGCTGAGGTGGACCCGACTCAGGCTGGCCGATGCTGAGTAGGGCCGATGCTGAGTCAGTCTGACTCTAGTGACTCAGGCTACTCCAGAGGACGGCTGTTGTCACAGAAAACTAGATTACTGAGACACGCCTAGAAGGGCCAGAAAATGAAATTCAGCGTAGTCTGTGTCATTGCCATGCATTTCCTGGTCCTGGGGTTATCGGGGAAGGATCGATGGAGATGCAACTGCGCCTAGACGTCCTAATTTGCATATCATAGTTCACCTCCACTAATAATTTGCCACCACAACATGATTTGGTCAAGGAATCTACAACACTGCTTTACAAGGAATCTACAACACTACTTTATGTTTTCTCATGACTCACATGGCTGCTCTAGACGACGCCGAAATTTACGACTTTGTCCCACTGACCAAGTTTGACCGAGCGAATGTCACTGAAACTCAAGCCAGCCGCCACAAATCCGATGCAGGTTTACGCGAGCACCCCGATGCTGCTTTTCGCTTAATGCAAGCGCATGTCGCGCCTTCGACAGCCCCTGAGGCGTTCAGCAAAGGTGACAAAAACGCCCATCCGGTGAGGTCCCAAATTTAAGTCAATAACTCACTTTCTTCTGGTAGCGTAGCCACGAGAGAGGGAGAGGGGGGGGGGGCCTAGGGTCATGTCCCTCCTCTGGAGTGGGTTGGGCCGTTTAGGACTGAAGGCCACAAGCTTCTTTTTGGAATTTTAAGACGCCCTATGGCTTGTAAAACACAACAAGGCATCAATTAAAAAGGATCCAAAGCCTACACAGCTCCCCTAAATGCAGTAACAGGACCCCTGTGACGAGGAAGACGCTCCTGCGCTGGAAAGATCCATCTGACCCAATTTGACCTCTCCTGAGTCAAACCCGGCCCACATCACCAGTTTCTTGCCATTCAGAATATCAGATGTTATTCACGACGCCCGTGTCTCATTCAGGTCCGTAACAGCACATTCCCATCCACCGACGCAGTGCTTCTCAAAGCTCACGTCCGTTGCATAGAAGCAGCTTTCAGGACGGTTCAACACGTCTAACATAACTACACGGCTGTGTGGGCGTGCCTCTGTTATGCGGCTGAGGGTTTCTGACAGGTGATTGCCTATTCATAGAGTTGTGGGGTGCTAGTTGTAAACGCGCGGACCAGCCAACGAGCGCTATTGCTGATGCATTATGCCCGCAAAGTTAGACAGAAATGGAGGTGGTCGCCTTAAGCTCACGTTCTGCCAAAAGCACACAGTTCAGGCGAATGTTCTTGGGACACTAATACTTAACAAGAAGGGTAACGAACTCCCCTCTAGTCCCATTCATAAGGCTTGAACTGAGGTAGCGCTAATTTATGAAAGGGCGTCATTGTCTACAGCGATGCATTGGCTGGCGCGGTTGAAAGCATCACAGAAAGCTGGAATGAACACGGTGCATTCGGTAACAAAGCACCTGAGGCTGACTTCGAGGAACGCCCCAAGTCGGCTAACACAGCACCTGAGGCTGACTTCGAGGAACAGCCAGGGCTCGTCCAGCTAGGGCAGGAATTAGCAAGATCCGTCACGATCTCACGTGGCTATGCAACAGGAGTGTATCTTCCACTTCAGCAGACCTACGAATTTCAATGGATTGCTGCATAGAATACGCTGCGAAAATCCGAACGGAGAAAAAATGTTTCACAGCGCTTCTCGTCTGTACCTAACGGTTCGTGCAGGCGCGTTCGCGACGCAGTCTCACCAGAGTGGTCTTTGTCGAGAATCCGGAATATAGTCTCCAGCCGCTCTCGGTTTCTGTACAGGGACTCCACCACGCTGGGGCTGTCCTGCGGGCGGGGCCGGCGGACAGTCAGGCAGCGAGTTCGCGGACCCAGCCCAGGCCCGCCAGTTGGTGGCTATGCCACCGACAACCGAGGCGTTGGGGGCTCCGCCGGCGGCGTGCGGCGGCTCGCGGGATCCAAGATCCAATGCCGTGCCATGTAAAAGCGCTCCGCCATCCTGCCGCAGCGACGCACTTGAGTGTATGTAGTGAGGTCAAGGTCAAAGCCGCGAGGTGTGTCGCAGCGTCATTGACCGGAGCAGCGCGGCGGCGGCGACCCCGTACCGCTGCGGGTCATGGCGGAGCACGACACACCGGGAGACGTCGAGACGGTAACACAGAGCGACGGCTCAGACTCATCAGGCCATCACTCCGTTCCAGTAAACACTGAGAATATAACATGTGCTTCAGTACCTGCATATGCGAAAACGATTCAAATAGCCTGGAACTAACATAGAAATGACATCAAAGAGCGATTACTTAAACACATTTCACCGACGTCAGTCACTTTGCACTGCGGTTACAAATAGACTGGGGTAATATACATTACCGAAACCGCATGACTTTATCGTGGACTCCTCGGACAGCGCTTTACCTCGCTTTTCGTAGGAGAAACAGAGCCCACGAACGTGTCGGCGTAGACTATCTTCGAGGAACGCGAGTCCAGAGGCACGATTTTCTCTCGCAGCACGCGCCAGGGGATGCCGGGGCTGCAGTGGTCCTCCATGACCGCCACCCACTCGTGGACAGCTATCAAACCTGAGAAAAACGACAGAAACAATAAGTGATGGAAAGGCTTGAGACGGGACAGTAGTTCGAAAGAGAGGCATCCCCAAAGCGCCGAAAAACCGATCATGCGGATCTTACAACTCGCAAATCTCTGCGGTTTATCCGCCAGCGAACTAAGTGCGAAGCAATGCATTGTAATGCCATTTAATAATTGTCATGTAAATAGAAGTGAATGCGACGTGATATCATGTAATGAAATATGATTTGTCAATGTAATGTATTTCACGTTTGTAATTTGCTGTGCGTTTACCGTGTTTTGTTATTTGTCAGTCACCCGACGAAGGATTGATGCCCAAAATAAAGTGGCATTTCTTTACATATTTTGCATGACTTTCATTTTTCAGGCGCAAGTCGAGACGTTTTGTGTATAACTACGTCACGACTCAAAGAAAGGCTGAAACTCATTAGTGACCGAATTTCGAGCCCGCACTAGGTTGCTCAGTTGCTGCCTGCAGCCTGGCTTCAGTCTGTCGCCGCTCACTCCAGTGTTTGTGGTGCGGTCACGTGATTTTTTTGTGGGGAGCTCTATCCCGAAGGCGCCTGCTTTCGTTAACAAGAGACTGACACACCGAGGCCTTCCTGCCGTCGCTTAGCTGTGTGCGGTGGTACCGAACAGAACCTCTTCGAGTAACGAGCAAACCCCGATCTCCAAGAAACGCCCTCTGAGTCCACTGAACTCCATTTGTAATTGCCTATCCACAAATTAGCTTCCTGGGTCCTGTCCTATGTGCGGCTGGGATTCCCTACATTCTAAGTGGAAACGCTCATCACTCCACTGTAAGGTTTCATCCTGAACTGGAAGCACAAGCCGGCCACGCACTGACCAACCAAGCAGGTCGATGACTGAGCCATAGTCGACCTAACCGGAACGTGCAGGCGTCAACCAGCATGGTCCAGTGACATCAACGTTCTTCACTTGTAATCCCGCCAGCCGCGGCGGTGGATTGCCAAAAAAGTGCCCCGAAGAGGCCAATAACCGTGACACGCCCGGCTGACACCGTTCAGCTGATATCAGTCCTGGAAGCTGTGAGCGAGCACCATAATCCTGACGTGGTAAAAAATCTGGACGGGTAATCGCTTTGTTGTACATGCGTTCAACTGCTTTCAGCTCCGGAAATTGCGTTGGAGCGGCATAGTCCTTGCCAATAACCGGTGGCCGGTTGAAAATAAATGGATGAATTGGACGAAACAGACCAAATAACATTCTTTTAAATACCCAACGTTTTGCTCTGACAACTTGAAGTCATTCATGCACTGTGGAAAGCCACTTACCATTGGTTGACAGCAATGTTAAAAATGAGCAGGGCACAGGAGCCTTTATTTATTTTCTAAGCCCTTCATTACGTAATGTGGTGGCACACGACCAGCCTCATAACCAGGAGTGGCAGGAATGTGTGGCAGGATGGCAGGAAACCATTCTTTTCCAACTCTTTCCTTATCAGACGAGCAGCAGCGTGCATGCATAAGATGGCAGCGGCTGCCCCGCTATCCCTCCCTGCTGCCCCTACCCCACCGCTGCCACCCCTGCTCCATCGGCGCACGCTGTACCGCCGCCACCGGTCACCTGAAGCATACTGTGCCGCTCCACACGCGGTACCAACTCCACTTGAAAAGGAACGTGGCCGACGGAAAGCATTTCTTGAATCCAGTGAATAGAAGTTGAGGCGCTATACACTTCTGAGTGATGTGGAGAGGTATTTTGAGAAGGAAATTTTGTTTTTAGAGTACATCAATTCTGCAAAGTTTTGCATTTGACAAGGCCATAATTTGACGCGAGAACCAACATGCGGCGCTTTCACTGTGACAGCGTTTTGGTCCTTAGCGTCACGGTCAAAGACATAGAACGAAATTCAGAAGGGATAATATTTCCGGTGTTCCAATCATGTTGAGGCTGAAAGCTGTCCTCAAGCACCAGCATTTTCAGTTTGTCTCAGGGCAAGTAAAATTAGATGCTTTGGCAGGTCCATTCCGTTCAACCAAAGGCAGCACGCACCTACAGAATCCATCGCGGCCAACGGGCCTAAAAGGTTTCACTCTATTTTAAATAGAGTTTCTTTGAAATACTCAGCAGGCAGGCAGTAAGAACACATATCAACAGATTATATAGGGGCCGACAGGAGCACCTTTGCGAATTGAATGACATTCGATGCCATGACCCAGTACAGAATACAGTCCATGACCTTCACGGTCATCTGGAATGCTATATCAGGTGCGTGTGTCCTTGCTTGGCCGAAAAAGCTCCGTGTGATGCATGTGAGCATGTGGTGTAATATGTAATTGGTCCAGTTCATGGCTCGTATGGTCTTATCGGCAGTAATGCGCGTGTGCACACGCGCGTCGAAATCGCTCGCATATTCTTACAGACGAAACACCAAGAGAGACGGTGCAATGTCATGAAGCGAAGGAAGAACGGTAGATAACATTGTGCGGCCGGTACAAAAACAGTCACAACAAACACGCCTCAATAAAGACGATGTGGTCTATAGCGTGCATCTATGGGCCATTGGGGAATATTTGAGAATTTCATCGACTGGCCAAATCCATGCGTATGCTTATATGAAATGGATCACGGCATGGGTTGGGTCTATATTTTGGGAAAATTACGGGTCTGAGCACGGGTATGGGTGAGATATTTTCAAAAGTTCTGTTAGTCATGTTAAGAAATTCTACACATTTTACTGCTGGCGCTTTTTTGAGTCATAACAAACACCATTGACGCGACTGTTGAAATTAGCAACGCTAAGGGGTTGGCTGCGAGCTTCGCCAAAACTCTCCAATACTTAAGAAACACAGTATTGTTTGAATGCGAGTGGGTGGATAACGGTTGGGTACAAATGGTTAGGAATAGGCAGCGGGTGGATGTGGGCACATACTAATGGATAGAGCACAGATGGGCAAAGGAAGTCTTTGCGAAGAAGATCTCTGGTGGATATGCGCTCGAACAGTTATGGTATCTACCGCACTAAGCATTCATTAAAATTAGCATAACCGTGATATTTTTCCAAAACAAGCTTATTCCAACACCCATATCACAACACGCTCCAGTTGTGAAAAATACCTTCACCAGGACGCCGAGTAAAGAATGCATTAAAGCTCCCCTCCCTCCTTAACATGTCTTCTTCGTTGGCTACCGCAGACTGTTTTACACCGAAGATGCAAGCTGCTTAGTGCTGTCCATGCCACAGAAGCAAAAACCGCGCTTATTTTCCCAGCATGGTGATCGGGATCACGCTTTTCAGCTCTACGGAAATACAAGAAAAGTTCTCTGAAAGACACTGCGCTCTCAGAGTGATCTCAGACACGCTGAGAATGTTCCTTGCAGTACCATTTAGAGCTTAGCACCGCTCAGCACCGCTTAGGGACCGCTTATAGTATCATCCTAAGCCCAGTAGCATCTCCGCACTTGAGCACGAGACCACATGAGCTCCACCTGTTTCGGCTGGGTCGCGTCTGCTGAACTCATCCATTAGGGCCGCCTTGGAGGCGAGGATCTTCTTCCGAAGCTCGTTGAGGGCGGAGGCCTCTAGAGCGCCGACCCGCTGCCTCATCGGGATGTACTTGGCCTTGGTCTGGGCGTTGAACTGGACGAAGTGCGGCCGCAGCTCGGCTCCTTGCAGCACCACGTAGGCGCCGCGGTTGGAGCCGGGGCCGTAGTAGTTGGACGCTGAGAAGATGGTCAGGCACTGCGAGGAGCGGGAAGAGGTCAGTCGCGTGGCGTGGCCAATCGAAGAGGACCTCCGGCAGACGCTTCGGCAGAACGGGCCACACATTGGTCACACATAACTGATGAGCCATCGCTTTGGACAGGCAGACCACTAATAGGCATGAAAGCTGAGTAAATCTGTGGGGTGAAGATCCAAAGCAAATGCAGGAATTTGTATTGTAAGTCTGTCTGGCTGAATATGTAAATTTGTAAGTAAATCTATAGGCCGAATTTCCAAAACAATTACTGAACCCCGTGTTGACCCCGTGGAAGATATAGACAAAAATGTACCGAAATATAGGTCCTGAGAACTAAACAACAATGGACTTTCTTCGCGAGAAAAATAAAATAGTAACAGTGCACCAGCGTCAAAGCACGCAACTCCAGTGATATATCCGACCAAATGTGTGGTAGGCGGATGTTCTGGCGACCGCTTTCACATCCCTGAGAGTGATTGCGACACAGTTTTAATGGAGGAACTTCCTCGTCGCCTTGGGGAGCAGACGTCATCACACCGACAGCCTGGGGAAAACACCACGCTGTCACTGACTGGGTGTTTTCGGCTGGTGGTAGAAGCCATCAAAGTCCGTGTCGGCGAAGGCTTTCAGATAAACAGTGGGTAATCTCAGACATCCCAAATCTTCCCTACAACCCCGCAGTATTTTCAGATCAGACGCCGAGTCATCCCATTCAACGCGTGACGCGTTCTACGCGAGACAGTTCGAGAGGTCATTGGGGACGTTGGAAGTTTGGTCGCGCTGTGCTCAAGCAATAGGACCAGGCTGAGGTGCCCCGGACGTCTCCGTCAGCCGCCGGACACGGCTCCGTCAGCTGCCGGGCACGTCTCCGTCGGCTGCCGGGCACGCCTCAGTCAGCTGCCGGGCACGCCTCAGTCAGCTGCCGGGCGCGTCTCCGTCAGCTGTCGGGCGCGTCGCCGTCGGCTGCCGGGCACGGCCTGTCAGCTGCCGGGCACGGCTCCGTCAGCTGCCGGGCACGGCTCCGTCAGCAGCCGTGCACGGCTCCGTCAGCTGCCGGGCACGCCTCAGTCAGCTGCCGGGCACGCTTCAGTCAGCTGCCGGCACGTCTCCGTCAGCTGCCGGGCACGGCTCCTTCAGCTGCCGGGCACGTCTCCGTCAGCTGCCGGGCACGCCTCAGTCGGCTGCTGGGCACGCCTCAGTCAGCTGCCGGGCACGCCTCAGTCAGCTACTGGGCAAGTCTCCGTCAGCTGCCGGGCACGCCTCAGTCAGCTGCCGGGCACGCCTCAGTCAGCTGCCGGGCTCGTTTTCGTCAGCTGCGGGGGGCGTCGCCGTCAGGTGCCGGACACGGTTGCGCCAGTTCAAACGTGGCGAGCGTGACGTCACGTGCCGCGGGACGCGAACAGCAGAATAATGCCGCGCTAGGAACGGGACCAAATGACATACAAGTGCGTTCCGGGGGTTACCCTATCATAATTGACTCATTCAATCGCGTAGATTCACCGACTCTAGATTCGCTGAGTCGTCGTAGTCGGAGAGGAGCTTTGAGATCTGGTGCAACGAGGACACGGTACAAAACGGCTAAAAACGTGCTCACTTGTCGCAATGACTGGCGGACCTTACATTCAGAAGCAATCTGAAAGGACTGTCACGAGACAGGAACCGTCTGCTGCTCTAAAGAAGATGTTCAAGTGTTCTTCAGTTCCTCAGGAAATGCCGGAGTCTCCTGGCAGCCGTGGGAGCAGCCACATCCCAGATACTTGGGAGGGGGGGGGGGGGGAGGGGGAGGGGCAGAGTCTGAGGGCCTTTTGCCGCGCTAGCCCAACGCCTTTGCGGCATGGAACGAGTGGCGTGATGAGGTATGTAAATGTTGCTATCGTGCAGATGACGATAAAACACGGGCAGATGGAGCTAGCCGCCCCTGCAAACCCGAACAATAGGTCGTATCAATGCATTGGGCGTCCCTCTTTCGTAAGCTTAGCGATCGGGGGATTACTGATCTGTATCGCTGCCGCGCAGATTTTCAAAGGGCTGCTGGAAAACGGACCGGCCTTGTGTTCGGTAGTGCTCTTCAGTCTGGTCCACCAAATCGATGATTTTAAAGTGGTTTATGTTTTCGGTGCCTGTGGGGAAAATGCTGTAAACCACGGATGCCTTCTACCTGGGGCGGATCCTGGTTTTTGGACCGTCTTACGCCTGCCTAGATCTCATAGCCCTATCCATTCTATTTACGTACAAAGGGGTAATACAGCCGCATGGTCGGGTGATGAAACTACACAATTTGCGGTTAATTAACGTTATTGCAAGATCAGCACGCCGCCTAGCCTACCGAAATGTGTCCTAACAGCGAAGGTGAATGCTTATTTGACGAGCGATGTCGGGGACAGAGGCTGATTCGGGGAAACATAGACAACATGCCTCCCAGCTTCCACGGCTGGATATGCCCACACTCGCGTGGACAACGGAAACACTTCTATGATAACAACTAGTCGCAAAATGAACGCCGTCAATAGGCAAGCGTCCGAGCACCACGCACTGCACACACATACATAATGATAATGAGGCCTGGTGACGCTAAAAGCGAGATGCCAACTGCCTGAAGGGCTGGATATCGACCACGCGCGGCCACCTCGCCCAGCCAGCAGCCGCCCGTACCTTGTCGTCGTGCGTGTACTCGTATCCCTCCGCCTTGCACTCGTGCGACCGGATCAGCAGGTCGAGGTCGTTGATGCGCAGCAGCTTGTGCGTGACGTCGGGGCCGAAGTAGCAGCCTCCGCCGCGGAACACGTTCGGCTCGCAACCCGGCGTGCTCTGCGGGTCGCTCCAGAGCACGTCCAGCACCTGGCGGCGCCGGCCGGTCTGACGTCAGACCGCTGAGTGTGGCGTCATACGCGGCGTGCTCTGCGGGTCGCTCCAGAGCACGTCCAGCACCTGGCGGCGCCGGCCGGTCTGACGTCAGACCTCTGAGTGTGGCGTCATACGCGGCGTGCTCTGCGGGTCGCTCCAGAGCACGTCCAGCACCTGCCGACGCCGGCGGTCTGACGTCAGACCGCGGGGTGTGACGTCATACGCGGCGTGCTCTGCTGGTCGCTCCAGAGCACGTCCTGCACCTGCCGGCGCCGGCCGGTCTGACGTCAGACCGCGGGTGTGGCGTCATACGCGGCGGCCGGCGTCGATACGGGGACGGCAACGGCGCAGAGGTCGGCCGGTTGGGGCGCGCCGCCGGCCGGCCGAGCGGACTGAGACGGCCGTCATCGAGATTGGTCCTCGGTAGATGGCTAATTTTGGACGCGCCACTAATTCGGTGTGTCAATCAGGTGACGGCAGAGCCGCCCACTCCGCGCCACCAGGGGCCGAGCGATTTAGTGGAGGACATACGGCGGTGACGTCAGCGCACCGACGGGCGTGCGGCAGGCCCACGTCAGCCACGGGCTGCATGGTCAGATACAACGGCAAGCTGGGATCACCTTGCCAGATCTCAAACGCGAGGTCATTTGAATAACTACCTAGCCGGCTTCAAACACGGACAATAACCGTCACCATCCCTATTGATTTCTAGTACGACACAGGCCGTGCTGCAGATCCTCCGACTGGCTTATCGTTGGCAACATGGGCTCAAAGGAATGATAAATCACCCAGGGATTTTGATATTTTAGGATATCATTGTGCCTTGATGACCGTCCTTCTGGCGCATATTTCACGATTCTGTCACGTGATAAATTGTATCCTGTCATAATTCTACTATCCCTTGGACCACCACATTTCTTGCCGAGCGCGACCCCCCGGGTGAAATGGACATATGCCTAGCTTGCTGGTGACAAGACCGCAGTAAGGGCTCCGCCGGGCTGCGGGAACAGACCGCAGCAAGGGCTCTGCCGGACTGCAGGATCAGACCGCAGTGAGGGCCCCGCCGGGCAGCGGAACCAGCCCGCAGTAAGGGCTCTATCGGGCTGCGGAACCAGGCCGCAGTGAGGACTCCGCCGGGCCGCTGGGCGAGTACCTGCTTCCAGCCGATTCTGTGGCGCATGTGGTCCGTGGAGCTGGTGTTGTCGTGAAGCCGCTCCGGCATTCTCAGCACAGAGGAGTACTGGAACAGGTGGGACGGGTCAGAAGACTCCAGACTCGCACCGGTTCGCTGGCAATGACGGCGAGCCATGGGAGCTGCCGTGCACTGCCGGCCCTGTGACAAGCTAGGGAGGGCGTCGGCGGCGCTCCTCCAGCGACGCGAGACATCCTCCATTTTCCACGAAGCAGTGGTTTACGTCAGTTTCCGGAGATAAATAAGTTCAAAAGCTGCGCGGAAATTAAAAGCAACAGAGGTGACGCATACTCCGGAATTACTTTGTTTACACGAAACTGTGCGCAGCAAAATTGAGAGAAACAAAAAAGGCCCAGACTTCCTCACTAGGTGTATCATTAGTGCATGTTCTTGAAGGATGCTGGACTCCCAAATGGTGTCAGGCAAGAACCCTTAGGCTTCCATAGTGTTCCGAATGGCATAATGGCACGCACTTCCAATAGCTGCTCCCACGAAGCTTTCCCATCGTAGTGAACGCACCCAACAGCTGCGCTGGTAACATTTTTTTTGGAAGCGCATGCATGCGCGCACCGATAGAAAGCTCCGGGGGAACATTGCGAAAACTCATCCACGAGAAGCTTTTTCAGAGATACAGGTCGTTTGCGAAAAAACACTTTTGTGACCAGTAGGTTACGGGAGGGTTATACTCAAGTCACTTAATCGAGCATGTTTGCGGCGGCGCTGGCTGCCCAGGCGAGCGAACATCGCGGGGGTAACCTGGCGCGTCCGAGACCACCCCGTCGCTGATTGGTTGAGGATCAGCCGGGCCCACGTAAGCCGATTCCCAGCTGGCGGCAGCGCACCGCGATAATGGATCCGAACAGGACTGAGTCGCGCCGGGACCCCGACCAGCAGATCCCAGGAGAACAGGCCCTAGCCCGCCGCCCGCAGTCTTCAAGGGCAAACGGTTGTGGTGTAGAAAGAGCCAAATGGACGGCGCTTGGGCAAGAAGAACCACGCAGGGAATGGAGAATAAACCAGAATTTTTCAAACCTAATGAATGTGTAGACAGATATATATATATATATATATATATATATATATATATATATATATATATATACATATTCTATATATATATATATATATATATATATACATATGTAAAATGAAGCTATATGTATAGGTATATATAAAGATACATAAATACATGCATACAACATAGAGCTATATATGTACAGCTATATAAATATACATCATGGAGCTATATATATATATATATATATATATATATATATATATATATATATATATATATACATATAGCTATGTCACCCGGAGAGCTTTACGAAACAATCCAAGCAATCAGAGACAACTCGATTTATCAGAGCACGGACACCGGCCAAGCTCCTAACATGTAGGCAAAGGTGAAAAACCTCGTCAGCAAGATGTTTAGAATTGCATACGAACGCACCAGACGCACGGCATGGTGGCAACCAATCCTCTGGCAGACAGCCTTCAGGGAAACCCAAAACTTCACAAGAAGGGATTGCCTCTTCGGGCCATCGTCAGAGGCAGAGATCACGCGACAAAGCGCCTGGCTGAGCGTGCGGGAGAAGAACGGCAAATTAGTGTGGAAAACCAAGAATTCTTCATCCGTGATACACCACACTTTTTCCGAAAACTTGAAAAGTTGTCACATTCGATCAGGTCTCATAATGAGTGCATCCTGATCCTCTCTTGCATGGACGTGAGCAAACTTTTCCCCAGTGTACCACAGCGGGAGGTATTGCGGCGTGCCAATCGCTCGTAACCAACGCCAATCGCCAAAAATTCCAACGGAAAGCGTATACAAACTACTGAGCTAGTGTTAAGGAACAACAACTGCAACCTGGGTTCAAACGCGCAGTTAATGCAAGCTGAAGAACCACCAGTAGGCTCGAAAATGTGGAAAATTTGTGAGCGCGTATTTGAAGGCATAGTTATCAGAGCTTGAACCAAAATCGGACTCAAACCGTTAGCTTACTTTAGATATATCGATGACATTTTTTGGGTATGGCTGCATGGTGAGGTAGCATTAAAAAAGCGTCATGGTGTTGCAAACAACGTGCTCCAGAAATTCAAGTTGACCTTCATTGTTCCAAAACTGACATGCAATTTTTAAATGCAATTGTAAGGGTAAAAGGCGGCCATATCCAAGTTAATTTATTTTCGAAGCTATTCGAAAGCAAAAGCTACCTTCATTTTTCATCACATCATCCTTAACACTGGGCGCACAATGACCGCGGATGTCAACGTGCCCTTAAGCCCAAATAATAACAACGCCCTCCTTACCACACGGCCAAAATGATGTCATATCGTGCATATACGATATCATACCATTTTATTATCAATAATATCATACCATTTTGTTATCAATTATATCGTGCGTAAACGAGAACGTGAAAGCTAGGCCTTAGAAACAAGGACATCCCGGCAGAGGGATTAATAATAGCTTCAGTAGGGTGGGCAAATTTGACCGTGAACAACTTTTTCGCAGCTGCAAACAGAGCAAGATTTGACAGAATCATGTTTTAGTAAAGGCACATACAATGTCTTGTACGTATGATCAAACCGTTGGATGTAAAACAAGCCAAGTTGTATATGATGTTCATTGTGATGTGTGTGAATGTGTACGTTATATCGGGGAGTCAGGGAGACCCGTTCGGCAAACCAACTATCAGGTCAACAAGACCATTGGTGGACTTCCCCGTATCCATCCACTTTAACTCAATGGGCCACTCAACGACGTAAAATTTGTTGACTTGGAGGGGGTGTGGAGCAAAACTGCGATATATAGAAGGCTCAGAGAGAGAAACAATGGATTATTACGCTGGAAAATTGCGCCTTTCAGGTGGCACTCACCGAAAAAACAAAATCTAATGTGCAAAATTTGTCAAGGAAGTGAACTAGAAGGGGGCTATTCCACAACCAATGCACATGCGTCGATTATTTGTGTTATGAAAGGACGTGGAAAGAACGGATCGTTCAGACTGAAGCAGATTCAAATAGAGCTGAAGCCTCTGCTGGTAGAATGCTGGTATATATATAAAATTGTGAATACAAATGTATGTGCATAAAATGTGGATATATATATATATATTATATATATATATATATTTAGATGGCAATATATACACACATTTATATCTATATATATCTAGTATATATATCTCTACTCTATCCCGAAAGCTCTCGGCGGTTCCTCTCTCTCTCTCTCTCTTTCTCTCTCTCTCTTTCCCTCTCTCTCTCCCTATCCTCTCTCCTCTCCCTTCTCCTCTCCCTCTCCCCCTCCTCTCTCTCTCTCCCCTCCTCTCTCCCTCCCTCTCTCTCCTCCTTCCCTCCTCTCCTCTAATCTCCTCTCTCCTCTCTTCTCTCTCCTCTCTCTCTCTCTCTCTCTCTCTTCTCTCTCTCTCTAGTTTTGTGACAAAAATTGACGGATGTTTCGCTTTTTGTACCTTAATTGTAGCCACAAAGGCACGCACGTTGCGGGTTTCATCAGTCGATTAGCATTTGATGAATTTACCAATTCTGTCTCAAATATGGTAGGAGTTTTCAAAAATGTTTTTTTTAATGTTTTGTGATGGGAATGACCCGTTTTTTTTATCACAATTCGCAAGATGAGTGCGATGGGCTCCCAAATACTAAACGACTGTGGCGGATAACCCGTCCTTAAAGTCCCGAACATTCGAATACAGTTCTTCTATCTATCGCTGAGCTAAGCAACGCCTCGCATGCCGCCACCGCCGCCAGACAGCAAAACACGCACACCTTCCCTCGCGGCGTGCCCTCCCGGACACCTGACCTTAGCCGGCGACAGACCTGGTGTCGGTCGATGGCCTCCAGACCGTGCAGGTCTGTGTCGAACGACACGCCGCCGTGCACCACGAGCACGCGCCGGTCGATGATGGTGCCCACCGGCAGCCAGGAGAACACCTCCTCGAGGAGCGCCAGCAGTGCAGACGAGTGACCCTGCAGCAGACAGCCGGCCCGACCGGCAGGGTCAGGCACCGGTGCACCGGCCGACGCGCGGCGGCAACCAGCGCACGGCAATGATTCAAACATGGCAAGGCGGGGAAATGGGAACGGGGTGCCGTGGCAGAGGGGGGTCTGACACCCACTGGCATGAACGCATAGCTAGACGCGTTCTTAAAAGAAGGAGCCCACACAGAATGGTACTTAAAACATGCATACACTGATATTCCATGATCATTGTGTGTGCTCAGTCGCACCGATGTCTCTGCCTGACACACATTTAAAACGCATCAGGTCTTGATGGCCAGAACAGAGACATTTGCCTCCGTAATCAAAATGTGATTAGTGCAAGGCCACACGTTCCCTAATTTCCATTGGATGGACCAACTCGTTCGTCTGTGCCACATTTAATCCGATTTTGTCCAGGAAATTTCGCTTTTATTCGACGCCAATGGGCTCCATTAACCACTGAGATCTCGGAGTCCGCCTAGCTAACTTCGCTGTTCTATTACCCACATTTACCGGGGGGGGGGGGGGGAGGGGGGGGAGTAAACTCTCTTAAGACAAGCACAATTTAAATAGCGCTGTTAATGGTGGACACGGAGGGAGAAAGCGCGCTGGAAGTAATTCCATGGTCACGCATCGCCCAGCTGTGAACGGCACGTTACATGACATAATAAATGAACTCTGAGATAAATGTAGACCATTGCATCGGGTAAATATACGCAGTCCAATGCGGGGCCCTGCCTCAACTGGAATCGTCATGCGTTTCGAAGTTTGCGCGCACTATATGCGCCGGACAAGTCACAGCACAGCGATTGATGCGCTCACACATGGAGTAGACGTGCCCCGAGGAGTAGAGTGATTCTGTTTTCATGACAATGAAGTAGACTACATTTGCATTACCTGTATATCTTTTATTACTGGATTTCTTTCGCAGGTTATAGCTGATAAGATTACATCGATTTTACGAGACATTTAGGTTGGTTCGTGTGCAGGTAAAGGGAGCATTTCACATTTGTGTGGAGCTTTAAACTGCAACAGCCATTTTGAAGATCGTTCGGAACAGTTCACAGTCACTCCGTTATAAAGACTTCCCTCCAATTTCTGAGCTGCGCGCCTGCAAAAATGCAGACTATTACGGGAAGATTTTTCAAGGTCACCCAGGAATTCATGGCGCCACAGTAAAGTCTTTCCAGTCTTGCCATTTCATTAGCCATGAGGCGATTACGGCCAATAAAAACATAATCGTCGAGTCGTTCATAGCTGACGTTCGTGAGCACGATTTCCAGATATAACGGCTGTCAATTGGCTCTTAGTCAATGCTGTGCAAGGTACGGTGGTGCAGTCAAACAATGACGTATTGAGGAGCATATTCACTGAACAAAGAGGTCGTGTTGTCTAAGACAGACTTTTCCAAATAGCATTATACTATCAGGTATAAGTGAGCTTATTTCATCGAATCTGACGCTTGCTTCAACACCTTCACATGTGGAACATTCCCTTTAAGTATCCGAACTCTTACCCCCAGTGCTCCTGGATCCGTCCGTAGCAATTCGTATGCACCACACGCACGCACGCACGCCCGCCCGCCCGCCCGCCCAGCCGCCCGCACGCACACCTAAACGTAGTCAATCGTAAGACAACATATCAGTTAGTGACTCACTCCAGTCCAGGATCGGCCGGGTGAAGTGCGTCGTGCGGCACGTTTGCCCTGAACAGGCAGTGATTCTTCCTGACACCTCCCAAAAGCCTAGCAAGGCAGGCCCAGGTAGCAGGTAAGACGATTTGAAATGCAGCTGTCACGAAAGGAACACCGGGAGAAAGGAGGTCGGAAGAACCCCCGCGTTAAGATAAGATTAAAGCCAAGGTTAACGACCTCGTAGATATTACCCACAAGAACTGCGCGGACCTCACCGACACGAGAACGGTCATGGAACTGAGGCCGAGCACACTGGGCCTTCCGTTCACCGCATCCTTCACAAGTCTGGACACGCCCTGGGGGCTCGTCATTTGCGATGCCATTAAGGGGTCCTCTCTCGACGACTCAGGGACCACACTTAGCTGGTGACGGTGGGCGGTGTCAGCCTTATGATGAACAAGTGAGAAAGGGAGCTGAGCCCATTGCATCTCTCTTTGCGATCGATGGCGCATATTCGATGGATCTGGTCAGGCATGCGCGGTAATTCTCATCCATTTATACGTAGTTTGCGGTCACAGGTAACCTACGTTACAGGTCTGTCATGAACTGAAACCGCTTTGTTGCAGCTTAAACCTCTCACTCAAAATGTTTACGCGCTCTAATGTCCGAGGCGTGTACATTTGTGAATTTCCTGTTGCTTTCAAAGCAGAGCAAAACAGCAGGCAGCACCAAGCAGCACTCTTGCAGGGCGTTTGTTACAAATTCGACAGGCGCATTTCTCAGCAAAGTAGGCTGGACAACATCCACCTGGTTGCCCTGCAGTTGACCACGCCAGATTCCAAACAGCCTGGCGACCATACATTATGTACAGGTCAAAAGAGACAATGCATTATATGTAGGTCACAGGAGACGATACATTATATGCAGGTCACAGAAGACGCTGCACCTGGCTCCGGGGAAATTACGTTTTTCGTGCAACGAGGTCGATAACGCCTGTTCCAGAAACCACTTGTTTTGATTGGGCGACAGCAAGCCAGACAAAGCCGGATATTCTCTTCCTAGCAAATCAGTCCAGTAGCCATGCCTTGTTTTTAAGAACAAAATGTTGATCTGATATTAGCCTGGCGAACACGCCAATGCTCCTGAAGGACGTCATGCCCAGTGATGTGCATGAAACATGAATCATGTTACAGATCGCCAACACTACAGTGTCCCTGTCCCTGTGTCCCTGTGTCAGTGTCTCCCATGTGAGAGAACGTGACGATGATAAATAACGAAATATCATCCGAGCTCGCACATAGCTTTGGGCGGAGACCAACATGTGTCCCTGGCACTCTGAGGCCAAGGCCCCAATTTTCATATAAGAAGAAACGCATTCGGATCTTGCATTTTTGACATAAAGAGTTGAAAGTTCTGGTTATGAGTTGATGGCATTTATTATATATCCAGTAGCGTCAAAATAAGTGTTACTTAACGTTGCAACATCATTTAGCCAGCACCTTGTAGTAGATCAAAGACCGTTTACTCAACGTAAGAGCTTTGTACTCACAATACCACAATTGTGTTTTGATGTCAATATCAAATGTCGTCTATTTAAAACCATACATATATTTATGTTGTTATTTAGTTACATTTACTTAGTTACAGTTGTTTATATTGATTATATTCTATCATATGCATATCTATATCATATATGTATTCATATGCTATATTACAACAATTATGCAAATGTAATCATTATTTAGCATTACCACATCGCTTAACCAGTACCTTCTGGCATAATGAACCTCGTAAACTAAGCATGAAGATTTTCTTCTAATAATGTCCCAATTATGTTTTATTTCTTGGCCGACCACACGGAATGTGCAAATCTCACTTGACGAGCTTCAAGCCAACTAGACATTGTTTGATGCAGAAATTATGCATGTAATGATAATGATGATTCAGTCATGTATCTAGTGCATATGATTATGCAGTGATGTATCCAGTGATGATGACGATACAATTATGATGAACTTAAGACATCTCATGATATCAAGCCGTAACCCTCGCCATGATGCGGGGGGAGTCAAACCCCTGTTTTTAACACACACCTACCACGATGTCGTCCAATCGCGCCAACATACTCACCCTTTCCTAGAAACTAGAACTAGAAACACAGAACAAGACACCAACTGTGACACTTCGCCGAGACCAATCGACATATTTTTTACGGGGCACTATCGTGCTAAGTTTACAAATGACTGGGGGCCAAACAGTCCTTTATCATCCATTTTCGTTATGAAGAACGACTACAAGCAGGCGTAACTCTGGCAACGAACAAGCCTTTACGAGTCAAAGCATTCGCCCGCCGGCTAGACCCGCGCAAGTGCGTCATTACCGTAACAGTCAACTCGTGCGGAACGTCGCAGCAGAGGAGCTGTCCAGTCGTTTGTGCGACAACTGTGCCATCGCTCACACGAGGAGTGGGGGCAAACAACGTCGCTGGCATACGCTCGAAGCAGCGCTGAAAGTCGGTCAAATACCAAACACTCTGTTTTCAGACTCTAAATGATGTACTTGCATTCTGTTCCGGAGAATGTAGAGTTACTTATCTCTGCCGCCCGAGTAAATCATTACCGAGACTACCGAGAGAGTGTGCTCTCTCTTGTTCTCACTCACTCACTCACTCCTCTCTCTCTCTCTCTCTCTCTCTCTCTCTCTCTCTCTCTCTCTCTCTCTCTCTCTCTCTCTCTCTCTCTCTCTCTCTCTCTCTCTCTCTCTCTCTCTCTCTCTCTCTCTCTCTCTCTCTCTCTCTCTCTCACGCTCTCTCTCTCGCGTATCCTGTCGATCTGTCGCGTATCCCCATTTCTAGCCAGATGCAGGGCATAGAAGAGTACATAGATCACGGCGAAATTGGCACATAACCTGGATTCAATTTCAGCCCCCACTACGCGTATTGATGCCCATTCATAGCCCTGGCAGCCAAGCCTGCCAGGCCGAGCGTTTGGCAGCGAACGCTGCGTTGTCTCGTTCATGGCTGGCCGTGGCATTACGAGTTCCGAAAATTCTGCACGATTAGTGCATGATCCATTGTTCGTCCGTGACTCGCGAAATGCCCAGCTCCATGAAATGGGCGGCTCAACCAGCGGCAGCACCATGTGCTGTCACCGACTGAAACAGGCAAGAGCGGCTTATTGGCATTATTGTTCGCCGCAGGGCCGGGATCAGCAAAGAGGATGCAAAATTAATGGTTTTGGGGTACGTCTGAACGCCGGTGGTTTTTCACCGCCTTAACACTTATAGGCCAGTTGAATACCTCTCGCAGAGCGAGGGGTATTCAACCGGCCAACCGGGCGCATGTTAAATGTTGCGAGCTTTCCGGACTACCAGTGGCAATTCTAAAGACGCATAGTAGGTCAAGGCACAAACACATTTCAGATCTGACAGCGCATATGTGATCCACAAAATTATTTCCGCGCAGGTCAGTTACAACCAAGAGTCTCGAAGCTCAAAGAGAAGAGCTTTACAAAACATCACTTACTATATTACTTTGCTTTACAAAAAGTCGACAAGTAGACTGAGGCTTCACCTAAAGTTTGTCAATGACAGAACTACGCTGGGAATATGTTGCTCACGTCTTTGTGTTGTATCTCACGACGAAGGTGTAACGTTAAATTTGATCTTGTATTACATTATATCATGGCTTATATTTGACTCTATTTTGTGGAAAAAGAATACAAGGTTTCAGAAGACTCAAGACAATCCTCTCAAACTTACCCAACTTTAACTTGCCCCCTTATAGATCGGTCGAAGGTCAGTGGAGTATCTGTCCGTCCATGGTCCACGCTCAGAGGTAAAGCAGTTGAAAATTCGAAAAGGTGTTTCCATTTGATTTCCTTTCAAGGAACTGAAGGGTTTAAGTTCAAATAGCATCCTTACGGTCCTAACAACTTAAATTATGAGCGAAATCACACGGGTCATAACTTGCTAGTTATGACAACAATTTTGCCATGTCTGAACCTTTTTATTTAATTGGCCCTGTCGTGACGTAATGGTCACGACAGTGTCACCTTCCGTGGCTCACCAATGATGCGCTCGTGCCTCACAGAAGTCATGTCAAAGCAAAAGCGTGTGAGGTCGTTGCATCATGAAGACCAAACGCCTGGGAAAACTAGCATACCACAAAATCTAGAACGAAACGCAGCAGCTTTCAGCATAGTAACCATGAACGTTTTCTTATTTAAATCCAACCCGTTCGCTGTCCAGCCGAGCGGTCAGAGAGGACTGCCAGCGCCCTGCGGCGAGCGTTCGACCGGTTCGTGACGGGGTCTCGGCCTGTGGCGCGGTGGGGCTTCACCGGCCCCGTGTCGGACCGCGGTGGCCTTCCCCCGGCGCCGTGTCGCCGGCGCTCGCTGCCCGGTCACGGAGCACGAGCGACCCGCGGGCAGCGACAGTCCATTCTCGGGGCTGCTGTGAACGCTGGCGGCCGAACGCGGCTGGTGGGGGAGGTGGGTGTAGTTCGCGGCTCTCCATGCAGTGATATAGGGAAAATGGCAAATCCGGCCGAAGCTGTGAGGAAGGGGAGAGGGAGGGGACTGGTACCCACTGCCTGCACTCCGATCCGCCATCCGTGCCCTCCAATCCACCGTCCCTGACCCCCAACCCGCTGTTCCTGCCCTCCAATCTGCTGTCTTTGACCCCCAACCCGCTATCCCTGCCTTCTAACCCGCTGTCCCTGCCACCCAGTTTGCTGCCCCTGCCCTCCAATCCGCCGTTCACGTCCTCCAATCCGCCGTCCCTACCCTCCAATCTGCTATCTCCGCCCTCTAATCACCTGTCCCTGCCCACGGACCACCTGTCTGTTCCGATATCTTCAGCGGTCACTGCAATCCGAATTGGGGGATTCGCCCGGAACAATAAGGCAAAGGTAGCAGGTCGCACCGCAGCGTCAAACCTAGTCGGGCGTGTATAGTAATAATTGCTTGATTTTTTCAGACGCACGTGATCCGATCCAAGCGTTTTTTTTTTTTGTATGGTTTGAGTACTTACTAACAGATTCGTGCTTCACTGACCTCCCACGGAATGTGCTGTCAAATGTGACCATAACACATGGGGCAGAAGAAACTGATTCTAACCTTTTTATGGCTGCAAACATAACAGTGCAAAGCTAAGCTCACTCTGATATTACAAGATTACATCAAAACGTCACTTGATTCCTACACTAGTTTCATTAGAATCAATTTTGGTGGAGTTTTCAAAGATAATCAGGCAGCACTTAAGACGATATGTCGCCGGCCCACGAGCAGGAATAGTGCATTTTCTTCTAGTAAGACCGATGTAGAAGTAGTGATCAATTCCAAGCGCGTGTGAGCTGCCACAAAAAATTGTTGTCACGCATTTCTTGTGTTGCCGACATCCGATCCCATACCTAATACACGCGAACCCGCTTTCGACTTCAAGGCACACAATTTAGAGAACAAAAATGAGAAAACAGCTACCAAAGCACTTAACTTTGGTAATTTTTAATGCTACGTGGGGATTCAGTAGCACAAGCACTCAATAACACCCACAACTTGTTTAAAAAAGTTTGCTCAACATCGTTCTCACCGTGCTGCAAGTGCATGCGCTACTTTCTAGGCAGTTATCAGGGCGCACTTACCTTATACTTCGAAATTACTTCTCTGGTGAACCCATATCTGTAACAAAATACACACACTTTAGCGCGAAATCTTTACCTGCTGGGTTTAACCATCTAGCCGCTGTCAAAATTAAAACTGATAGCACCAACAACGCTTCTATTCATCCTCTCGTTATGCACGACTGTCGTACACAGCATAGCCACCTGTCATAATGCTCTGAAGGGGCTATTACAAACGTGTCATCCAACAACTGGTTATAGCGTAGAACACATATCTCAGTCCGCCAGCAATGCTCGGGAGGGAGCAAGGGCGTGTTTGCCGCCAAATAAATAACGCCGTTCCGACAGCACGTTGCAGCGATGACAATTATTTTAGGTACACAGAAGGCGCCACCCGCGGTCACCCTACGACCGGCACGGCGTGCCACACATGTGACATGATGGCGTGTAACGTGGGGCGGTGAAAGACACGTGTTTGCCATTACCTGCGCATGTGGTATCATCTAGACCACAACTTCATAAATTCGAACCCAAATGGTTATTAATGATTACCAGTCGCTACTTACCACCACTGAATATTGTTGAATGCTTTGCCTTCCTTGTAATGGTAACAGAAGAGCCATATACACATGTGAGAAGTGCAAATTAAAGTTGTGGAAAGGTAAGCGTTGAGAATTATAGTTGAAGCAATGCAGAATGGGAATGAGTCCCGCAGCTGGATCCAAGCTTTTCGAATTATGGAAAAGAATGTTGCAGAATGAATGCGAGCAGAAAAACAAGAACGAGATGCCTCAAAATAGCAAACAGATGCTTTATAAAAAACAAAATGACAATGTGTCACCGCGTGCGGTGCAGGCTGAGCATGAACAAAACTGGCTTCAGTGTGTGAGTTGCAAAAGCTGGGAGCATGATATGAATATTCCGTACTGAAATGAAACTATCTAGGCTTTAATTCAATGAACTCAACGAGCTGCTGACAATCCCTGCACAATACGCAATTTGTTGGGAGCTCCATCGTAACTAGATGCATAGGCCATACCAGTTCATGCATTTCCTTCAGTTGAGAAAAATGAACGTCAGATCTAGCCGGTCATCACGTAGACAACGTTTAATCCATCTTTGAGTACAACCCGAATGTGATGAAAACATGATACATTACCGGAGTTGCGTGCTTCGTTTCTTCAGCTCTCTTCCAACGCTAAGCAAGTCAACATGAAACCAAAATGGATAGAAATGGTGGTGCCAGAGACACTCAGGCTCCCAAAGTCGGCATTACAGTACCGCTCCGATATTATCGGTATCATCGGGATTGTACACCATAAAACGTCGATGTTTCTTCTTCCAGTTATTCTCGCTATAATGATAAGTCAAGCCAGGCTGACACTTTTTGACATAAAAAGCTATGCCAGGTTGTTCGTGCTTGAATTACAAATGTGCGAGCTAATCAATTAGCTGAAAGCCGTGCACATTCAAAGAGATTCAAGAGACTTGACTGGTCAGCATTCACTTGAAGCGATTGCAGGCGGGCGAGGGATTGCATCCTCTTTGATAACATGGCACATCCATTTTTGTAAAGGACCTAGCGCAAAAATTAACTTACTTAACTTAACGTAAGAGAATCCAGCGAAACGGTAAAACCCACCAAGAGAACACGAGCCGCGCATAACTAAGAAAGCGTAATAAGCGGTGAACGCAATGATGGTAACACATTGCTGTCAGTCCAATGCCTTGTAGCATCAAGCCACGTTCCATCACAAAAAACGTAACATAGGCTGGTACACTTCTGCACCAGCTCATGAGAAGTTCCTACCACATCGACAAAAACAACAACACAAAAAACAGGAGCTGCCGCACGGTGTTTTCACTGTCATCTTAATGTCGGACTCAGTTTCATCACCTGTCCACGTGGCTGGGCCCCAATGCCACCCACGGACCGGTCGCCATAGCGCCGTGAGATGGGTGGCTGTTTGACGCCGTGCACGACGGTTGACTTAGCCCCACCTGGGCTAAATTCCTTCACAATCACTGTATGGGTCAGCGACACACTCAGGTCAATAACTCGATAGTGACAGGCCGGTGAGCCGACCCCCGGCGTCAAACTGGCCTCAGCGCGGTACGCATTTTTAGGGCTTTAGCGACACGGCCCCTTCGTCGCCACCTGGCCGCACGCCCGTCCCGTGAAGCGGCCGGAGTTTTGCATACGTGACCCTTGCCATCTGGAGGCTGTACGTCCAGTGAGAGCGACTGGTTTCGTATGCTATGCTGTGCACATCCACACAACATGAATGTTCGGAGGAAAATGCAAAATATATTTATGGTGAGTCTTTAAAACAAAACCCTCACAACCACTGAAAACTGCAAGATGCGAAGAAAGGTAAAAGTAGGTGGAGCATGCTTCACATAAGCAAGACAGGTGTTAACCTTATTCCGGTCTGGCTCCCGTTACCCCTATACTAGGTGAGCGGCGGCGGATCCCACCGTCCCCAAAGATCGCAGGATCTACAGGCCCATTTTGAAGAGAAAAAACATGCACGGCAAACGGCGTGTGATTTATTTTGACGACATCTATATTTGTGCACAACTAATTGCAGACTGATTTTGAAACAAAACAAAACAAAGGAAACGTCCTTGGTTTCTCTCGGGGCGCACTACATTTCTGAAAATCAAACGTCCGGCATTTGTGATGTTGAGGCAAAGGGGACGATGGGTTGGAGTGTGCGGGGGTGGGCAAATCCGATGCAGCATCACATTTATCCAGCAATTTCGACGCTGCCGACACAGATTGGTGACTTATGATATCGAAATTGATAAAGTTCCACTCACTTTCAGCATTAGAAATTCGTAGGAAAATCCAGGATATTTGCAGCAGGGTGATGGCAGAAGTGGTCAAAATCGGTTCTTAATTTAGTGTACCCAAAACAAATGGGATGTTGCCTTGTCGTTTCAACTGAAATAGCAGCACAAAAAGCAGGTCTACGCTAAGAATTTGATCCAGGCGTAGCCAGGGTGCCTATGATGATGGTTAATGGGGAAGGCGAAGTGACCATTTGCTTTCAATCTCGACCACAGGTCTGTTATATGCTGTAAGCAAGATAGGATGTTCAGGGATGCCGGTAGTGCAGTGGTTAACGCGTCTGTTAACGCGTCTGGGAAACCAGAGGTGCGGGGTTCGACTCTCCGCGGTGCCCTTCCCGCCAGGGTGAGAGGCAGGCGACGCCATATAGCCTCAGCAGCTGAGTGCGCCGTAAAGCCCCAATGACACACACGAAGTATGATGTTCACATGGCGTCCATGGGCGGGTTTCATGGGTGTATCCAATCTTCCAAATAAGAGGGGTTGGGACTCGTGATTGGAGCCAGACCGCACGGGTGTCGCTTTGTATTCTTTTAGATGGACCACTGTCCCCCATGTCCGATTTACCCCACCCCCAACGGTGAGTTTGACCCCAAAATTCCGGAGATAGAGCGCTAGCAGAGCATTTAAACTGGACGGTCGAAATTGTATCAATTTTAAAGAAGGCTTCTGCTTATTATTTCCAAAGGCAAAGGAGTGAGGTAGATGAAAAATCCCCTGCCGTGCTCAGAGGAACGCACCTAAGTGAGTTAATCTCACTTTAAAAGCTCCGCGTTCGTACCATGTTTACCTGAGTGTTTTTTATGCTTTTTCCATGATGCTTCCTTTTAATTACACGATGAAGGTGTATTATTGACTCTGACATATTTTATGCTACTGTGTACGTGTTTTGGCATTATTCGGTGACGTTTGAAGATCCACAGACTGCAGCAAGTTGCGCCATCTTGCCGCTGTGCGATACGATGTTTTATTGGAAATGAAAAAAGCGGTAAAATGTTGAAACCCAAAAACGTGGGTAAATCTTCAGTCGGCAAAGCTCGAAATAACCATACAAATGTGCCGACCTCCAAGTCGACGTGAATATTCGATGGAACAGCCACGGAAACTTGACGATCGACACCAGCCGACTTAACTGATGGCGGCAATCGTCCCACAATGCCCGCACTAACCGTGTCGAACATGCCTAACGCCAGTGCTGTGTTGCAGTCTGTATAGCGATTTACGGCTTCCAGCCGTAGATTTCCGTGACAGCCTTTAAAAGTTGGATGCATCTACTCAGGTGGTGGAGGCTTTTTACTCTCTCCACGCCCAAAGCCATACAGTCCAACAACGTCTGAAGCCACATAACATGGACCCTGCGTCGATTACCGAAACGTAGTTTCGACCATCGACGCCAAACAAAATGGTAGTGACGCGCAACGACAGCATCGACCGCCGAGGCAGAACGAGAAATCATATTAGAGCAGTGCTGTAGTTTTGATACTTATCTGGATGGGAATCCAACTTCCTCACGTTGAGAGGAAAGTGGGTCAAATCTGGGAAGAAGCCTATCTTATGGTGTATTTGGGGCCAGGACTCCCCGCTCAGCCCCCTTGCCTGCTTTGCGAAAAAAACACCCCTGTGGTGGAGGCTAAACGACTGTGACACGCGACGGATTTGCCACAAGATTACTTCATCGTCAGGTCTGGGACTCAGGGCCCATTTTGAAGCAAGGACAGGGCCGGGGCCTGTGATTCACATCGGTCGGGGCCCCTGAGACAATAAGGGGGCCTCCGTGTGGATCTGGGGTCACAGCGCATAACAATGGTCTTGTATCGCAAGGAGCGGGGAATCGGCCTGGGGCAGTGTTCGAGGGAAACCAGAAGCCAGAAGACCCCTTGGGACAAATGATCAAGTGCCTGATTGAAAAGGAATATTGGGCCGATGAAATGTTCCTTAGGTTCTTAATACACCACTAACCATGCTATCGTGTTCATATGTCATCATTATCTTTGTCATATTGGTTTCAAAGGAAAGTCATTCCTCAGTATCAAAATGATTTTGAAAGCCGCCAAATATTTGCCCTTTATTTCGATTTTCACATCAAGGTCGTAAATTAGAGTGGCCGAAAACCGGGAAGAAATCAGGATGTGAGGGCAGGTTAGGTTAACTTTATAAACTCAGCCCCCCCCCCCCCCCCCGATCTAATGAAGTCACACTTCTGCG